TAAACACTGCCACCGACTGTTCAGGAGGATTATTACACCCCTAAAGGTTGTTTCACTGTGTAAGGGGTGTGTACAACAGGGTGGCCAAAGATTTGACTGTGGTGGCCATGGCCACCCCTGGCCACCCCCTGGCTCYGCCCCTGGATGAGAACCACAAAAATGGGCTAAAATTCTGCATGAAATGTTGAGGGCGATTTGCATTCCTTCAAGGCATTTTAGATTGTTAATTGTGTTTTGGGGAAGATCATGTGAATAATGTCTGAAAAAGAAAAGCAGTATCRGTTCATGTATGCTGCCTGGTTAACACTCCTGATGTTTGTATTTTAGGACCGGGCGTTAGAAAGAAAACCAAGACTGTGAAAGAAGCAAAGAAGAAACCGAAGCCGAAGAAGAACAAATCCAAGTTGGGTCAGAGTGGGAAGAAAAAGAAAGTGTCCTCTGTATGTGTTCTTATTTCACACGGCTGTTTCCCGTCAGCTTGTTTACCTTCTCAGCTTCTGAATCCTCCATGTTTAATGAAATCAAAGTCACCAGATGATTCACTCCGCTGACTGGAAACACCAGGTTTTATTTCTGATATTCTCGCGTCACTCACAGCTCTCTTCACTTGGGTGGTTTTTTTGTTGTTGTTTTTTTCCAGAGTGAGGAGGACTTTCTGGAGGAGTCCGACTTTGATGACATCAGTATCCACAGTGCCTCTGTGCTTTCTGATGCCTTGGGGGCCGCCACCAAGAAAAAGGCCCGGCGTGGGCGGAAAAAAAGAAAAAGTATGGTTACAATCTCCTCTTTCTATGCTCAGTGTTGTTTTTCCTTCCAGAATCCCTCAGAACTGAACTGTCTGATTAAGGATAATGCTGAGATAATTAAAAAGTATTTTAAAAAAGCTTTATTTATTTTTTGAGAATGCTCTCTGAGGGCAGGTTGTGCTTTGYAGCAGCGGTTGCTGTCATGCTGGTGGAGTTGATTCAGATTTGGAGGCAGCATGGGATTATGTAGTASTATACAGTATATATACTGTACTGTATTTACTGTATAATGTTGGTAGAGAAGCAGAGCATTAATGTGACTTTTCTGTATGTCAGAACTGCGAGTGTAGAATCTGTTTTCCCTTTGCTAGAGGAGGACGGTGATGGCTACGAGACAGACCACCAGGACTACTGTGAGGTTTGCCAGCAGGGGGGAGAAATTATCCTGTGTGACACCTGTCCAAGAGCCTACCACCTGGTGTGTCTGGACCCTGAGCTGGAGAAAGCACCTGAGGGGAAGTGGAGCTGTCCACACTGTGTAAGCACATTCAATAGTTCAAAACTGTATTTTATTTCAATACTTACTTACGTGTTAATGAGGATTTTCTGGATGACATATGGGATGAAATATAGAATAGAATAGAATAGAATAGGATAGAATAGAACAGATCTTTATTTCAAAACAGTCATAAAACAATAAAAATATTTTATATATACAAATACATGAATATACAGTACTTCATTAATATAATTCAGATTTTTATTTTTGTTAAACTTTCTTACTTTATATGCATAGCTGTCTCGATTACAGCAGAATTTCACAGTAATAGCCTATAAAATTATTACCATTACTATTAGGATTATGTTCAGCTACATTGAAGCTGTTTCACTGCACATTTCAGCTGTTTAAGCCATCTTACAACAAATTGTTCCTTTTTTTGGAGTTTTATGCTTTTTTCAGCCTGTTTGACATTTTTTATACCACCAAATGGGTGCTGATTTCAACTTGTGTCCACTACTTTTAGCCTTTTTTATGCTARTTTGAGCTTTTTTTCCTGCAATTTTAACWATAGTTCTGCTTTTTTCTGCTATTCTTCAGTTTTTTCTACTTGGTTGTTCTTTTTTCTGCTAATTTGAGTTACTTATGCTTCTTACAGTTGCTTTCTGCTATATTCATACTGCAATTTTAGCTAATGTTCAGCTGTTAGTAGCTAAAGTTAGCTTCATTAAGCCAAATTCACAGTTTGGTGGCTTTTTCAGTTTTTTCTGCTTAGTTCAGCAAACATGTCCTTCTACTGCTTTTCACTGATATATTAGCGTGTTCATCTATAGTTCAGCTCTTTTACTGAACACTTTTTTGTACTTGTGTGTTTTTTTCTGCTAATTTGACATTTTTACACCCTTTTCTGGGGGCTAATGTCAACTTGTGTCCGCTACCTTTAGCTTGTTTTTATTCTAGTTTGAGCCTTTTCTGCTATTTCAGCTATATTTCTGCTGTTTTCTGCTATTCTTCTGCTAATTTCTGCTTTTTATACACTTCTTTCTGCTAATTTGGAATTTGTATACATCGTTCCCTTGCATTCTGCTAATGTCAGCTGCTTTCTGCGTTTTGACTACTTTTTAGCTGTTTGTTGCTAAATTGAGCATTTTCAAGCTAAACACACATTATGGTGGCCTTTTAATCCATTCCATAAATCCACCTCACACACAGACACACACGTACTTTTCCTTGTGGAAAGCACGTTTTGTGTTTTTTATTTTTACATTTTAACCTTCCTCTTAATTTAGAGCCTGAAGTTCTTCATCACGTCCACACATTAAGACAGAAATAGTCAGGACCTTTGGTGAGGTTTGGAAACTGGTGTGAATTTTGTGTACTTGGCTGCTTTTTATCTCAATTTGAATTTAAACAGCAAAACATTTATTCATTTATAAAATGGTTGTTAGTGTTTTAACACAAAAAATGGTTGTTTCTTAGAACCTGTGTTGTTTTTGATTTTTGTGAAAAATGCTTTTTAAGATGCAGTTTACAAGTCAGTACTCCTAATTTCATTTATTTTAATCATGAATAAGATAAGATAAGATAAGATAAGATAAGATAAGATAAGATAAGATAAGATTTTATTAGATAAGATGGTTGTTTCTTAGAACCTGTGTTGTTTTTGAT